GCCGTGAACGTCAGGAAGGCCTGGCGCTATATGGTTCATGGGGCCATGAAGCGTCGGACACGACTTAACGACTAAAACGACTAAACAACAACAATTGTTAGGAAATGAGATCCCAATGATCACCAGCAAGTAAAAGGAGAAACAGGTGAAGTGACTGAAATATAAGATACCAAAGAAAACATAATCCCAGATCAGTTATAATAAAATGAGGGAGGGAGGTACAAACAAATGGGCAGACTTAAGTTGATAACTCAATCCTTAGTCTAGAAACAGCCATCTAGGATCCTAATAAACCACTTCCCAGAAGCGTCATGGTGGATTTTGGATGATGAGATTCAGAAAGTGGCAGCATGTAAGCTCCGCTCTGCATAAGCAGACAATCTTTTGGCAGCCATACTTTAAAGAGTTATTAATATTTTTGTTGGCAGAGAGTCACAGTAGAAGTTGGAATTATATTATGCACATGGACAGGGACAGAATGTCTTGGTGTGTTGAGGAAGGGAGTTTGAAATTTTCTCATTCTAGGATGGGGGTGGGTGGATTTTTTTTGAGATGGTTGATAAGCCTTTTGAAATATTCAGCCTAGTTGGTCTCCAGCCAAAAATTAGTGCCTGTTTATTTGATTGACCAATTTCTACCCCACTTTTCTGGTCAGTTGAGCAGTTTGTTCCAGTTTCAGTGACATTTGTTCAGGAGCTCTACAGGCTGTGAAGAACTGATCCAGGAGCCATGTTTTGGATCCCCTACTCTGCTATACAGGCTCCTAGGGTTTAGAATAGAATATATCTCTTAAACAGCAGAAGAAATTGAGTTTGATTGTTTTATATGCATGTACCTCTACTTACTCTTGGCTTTGGGTCTTATTCTCCTTTTGATTGATCAATGCTCTGTGACAACAGGGAGTTTATTTCAGGCAGCAAGATCAATTTGCATAAGACTATGACCAGGTTTATATTTCAACTTTTCTGCCTTTCCAGCAGTGGGTATTCAAAGTAGCCAACAATAAAGAACAAGTTTGTTCACTTTTCCTGGAAAAATCCACCCCTTATGGATTAGCATTATATGTGAACCAAACCAGCATGGATTATTGAAATTATTATTAAAACAAGCCAAAGCATATGAGAACATAGTCATTTAGATAAAGCTATGGAACTCTGGGCTCAGAAATTTGCTGGAATGCCAGAATTAAGTTCACAGTGTTCCAGGCAAAAAATAATTTCTGGTTAGCAAAGACTTTATTTCAGCATTATAATTTTGGGGCTAAGGAAAGAGACATTTTATTATTCCTATTATTAAACAATTGGAAGTCTAAAATCTTTGCTGCTCAACTGTGAATCACCCAGAGATCTGACAGTACATCCGGATCTATTTTTTATTCCTCCCCTCCCTGCTTTCAGTTCAGCATGCTTTCTCCTCTAAGGGGTTGTGGGCTATGAGCAGTGAGATGATTATTGGATATCTTGTCTCTTTTTCCTGGATTTTGGCTTGCCTGCGAAAATATATTCTAGGGTTTTTTTCTCTCTTTTTATTTTTTTTCAAACAACATAACAGCCATAAGGTTTCTGCCTCAGGGTACATTATGTTTCATCAGATCAAAATAAGGGGAGAAAGCCATCCATCTTAACTGTGCTTTCCTCTTCACACTGCTTTGGTGTTTAATGTTGAAAAGGAGGAGGAGGATCAGAATTGCGGATGTGTATAACCAAAGATATATATCTCTGGTATAATTCAAATGCTTCAGGTTTTCAGATGAAACAAAGTGGGGAACTGAGTTTTCTCTAATAGTGCTATTAATTGGTGTAATAAATCAGGATTTGGGGAGTGTGTGTGTGTACGTACATGTATATACATATATACATATATGTGTCCCCTGGTTGCCTCAAGTTACATAAGAGGAACAGCTGAGTTGTTTGGTTTTGCTGAGAATGCTTTAGCAATGGAATTTGCTTTTCAGAACTGAGATGTCCATTCTTTTTCACAAGAGTGTGGCCAGTCAGATCCAAATAATGAGATGGGGCCTCTTCAGATCTTAGGGGCAATGGCCTACCCATAACCTGCCTTCTTAGAATCATCTACCACATGGGAAGGACAACTGTCAATAGGGAACAACCTATTCTGTCCAGGAAGGCTCTTCCTATAACTGAAGATCCCTTGCATGAAAAGCCTCCATAGACGGAAGAGGTTCTCCACCACTGAGGGTTGTGTTGTGCATACAGTGTATGAAATAAAAGGGTGGGACTAGTGCAGTCATCCCCACTCTGTATATAAATAAATGGTCTCATTTTCTAATCAAGCGTATGTCATTCTAGTATGGAAAGCATAAGTGAGGATTTGCCTCTAACCTATCTTCTCAAGCCTGGTGCCCAGATGTGTGTCCTACATCTCCCAGAATTTCTAACCAGTGGCTCTTGATCTTATTAAACTAAGTAGTTAGCCAAAGGAGAAACATGTTAAATTCAACCAGAGGGTAACACATTGAGTATGGTGGAATGCAAATAAAAATCTTTCTCGAATCAAGTTCATCATGTCCATGCACTTTTCTTGGCAGCAATGAGCAATCGATGTGCCATTGCCTTTTTATTCTAAATAAATCTGCATAGGATTTTAGTATGAAATTAAACAACTGGAGTATAAGTAGATAAATCAGTGGGATTATGTGTTCAATATACACTTGTTTGCTTTTGAAGTTCTGGTTTAAGCGGGTTGATTTACAGGGAAATTAAAAAGCAAACAACATTTTTCCTGTGAAGAGAAGACTTTTCCATGCATTCAGTGGAATTTGCGTATCAATTGAACAAGACTGGATGCTTGCTCTGTTTTTGCCAAGTAAGCATGCTTGGAGGAATCTCTGTGCATACAAATCCCATGCATGGGTCCGACCTAGTTGCTGCAGCTCCTTCCCCCTTTCTAGCTATTATATGAGTGAGCTGAATATGAATCAGTCCCCTATCATTGCAGCTGTTCCTGAATTTACAGGTAAGTGAAACTGAAGCACACTTGCTTCCGGCCTCAAGCTTGCAACTTGCATCCTTGTTAGGGTCTAAATGTTAACACAGGTCTTTTCCTGTGGCAAATTCTCTCTCACACAGGGGCAGTTTACTTGGAAGGAAGTCTTGAAGAAGCCAAACAACTGTTTGGACGCCTACTCTTTAATGACAAGGTATGACTTCATTTCTGCCTTGATTATACCTTGCATCATGTCTTCTGCTTGGTGGTGCTTTAAATCAAGTGCTTCAAAGGAAAATCGAAAAGGATCCTGCCTCTCAGAATATAATCGTTTCATCTAACAAAATAAAATAACATTATTGTAATGAAGCATATACCTGGTTTTCTGCTATAAAGACAAGGTGCCAATACAATATAGGAAAAGACCATCCTGTAGTGAGGTTCTGTATCTTGCTCAGAAGGAGCCCACAGTGGTCACCAAGTCTGGTGATTTAGACCCAGTCTTTCATATCTCTGACACAATCTGTTTGGGGATTGGCTGGAAAAAGCTGATTGACAGTGCTGAAGAGCACATAGGTGAAAAGAGAAGAATTGAGAAGAAAAATGTAAATGAAACCAGTGTGAGATAGTGGTTAGGCTGCGGAGACTGGTTTAGGTTCATCAGTAGCCATGGAAATTCACTGGATGACTCTGAGTGCTTATTTCTTAGTCCAGCCTACCTCATAGGGATAATTGTATATCCCTTGAATTCCTGGAGGAAAGATAAGATTAAAAAACTATCAAACATATTGTGGAAAACATAGGTTGTTGGCTATAAGAAAATCAGAAACTATAAGCCAGTGTAAGCTTAAACAAGTTTGCTTCAGAAGATCAGACCAAAGTCTTGCTTTTAACCATCAACACATAGATCCCCTGATGTGTACAGGCACCTTGTTGAATGTAGAAATGCAGCTGAGCTGAGATGTAGGGAAGTAGCAGTGGATAGAGGAAGGTGTTGAATTCCCTCCCTCAACCCGCGATTTCTCCCATGCAAATTGCATGCCAGTATTGCAACAGAGAAGCATTGGCAGGAATTACCAACATGTAATAGCTTTAATTTTTTTTAAGTTTTTGGCCTTATGCATAATATAATTGTGCTGCATGTTCACCTTTGGTTGATCTGTCTTGAATTTTTCCTTCTTCTTTCCTTTGGCTGGAATAAAACTCCTGAATTTTTAGTTACAGAACTTTAAGCAAAAAAAAAACAAAAAACCCATTTTGTATTTCCTAACGTTTTTTTGTCCCCCCCCCATCTAATTGAATTGAACAAAA